CCGGCAAGAGCAGAGTCTTTTGGTGATACGGTCTTGCTCATTTCTGATATATATCTGCATATCTGCCCATTCTGGTTTGTAAATATCTTTTTTTTTTTTTAGATTTTACGCTTTTTTTTTTCGCATTTCCCACCAGTGGAAGTCATTTCTGATTTCTTGCTGCCCTGATAAATACAATCTTCAAAATTTTAAAAGCAATGTCAATCGCCATCTTCTGTCTTCTTGAAACTTGTTCCTTTTTTGTCCTTTCTTCAATTCCTCTCCATTCTTATTCTTCACGTTCTCTTTTACTCTCCGCAACCCATTGCGCCTTTGTGACATTATAGCTTTGCTTGGGGTGAAGCGTTAAAGAAAGAAAAAAAAGACAAAATTCCAGATGAGATGAAGGTGGATGAAGTCGTCGAAGCAGTATGAATTCAAGAAAATTTATTCATGTGTTTTTTTTTTTGTTTTTTTTTTTGCAAGTTGGTCATGTGTGCAGAATGCCGAGATGGTGAAATTAAACATCTGAATATTAAAAGAAAAACGAAACGAAAGGGTTTCGTTTTACGACTGGCAATATAAAAAAGGTCTTGAAATTAGGAATGCACTGAGTAAGCAGTAATTTATATTGGCTATAAAAACGGAGCTAATGAAATTGCCTTGAAAAAATATCAGAGAGAATTAAGTTTCCTGAGCGTTAGTCTGCAATGAAACATTTAAAAATAAATAAAACTATATCGTGTCATAATATCTCAAAGGCGAGAGAAAAAAAAAATACTGAAATAAAATAGCATAACAATATACAAGCAGGCGTCACGTAATGGAGCAGATGTTATCAAAGTGGCACAGACCGTTATTAAAAAAGTCTGACCCTAAGAATATGCCCCACACCCCCACATATTACTTTTTGCTGAGATAAGCTTCCTAAACACATAGAGCCTCACCAAGAACTAACCTCGCAGCCTAATAATCCAGTCGTAAATCCGATCCTTTTTGGATATTTTTCTTTTGCTTGTTTCGATAAAGTCTGCGCGGCTTTTTATTTCAGAATTATTTTCTATCTTACAACCCCTTTCCCCGCAGACGAATCGTTGCGAGTCTCTCGATGAGCTGACGAACTACTGCGTCCTGGGTAAGACGATAAACTGTGTCCAACAGCAAGGCCTCTGATCAGGATGTTTTGAGGAGCGTGGAACCACCTCTTGATTGCTGGTGTTCCTAGGTCCACCCTGACCCGGGGTGGTAGCACCTGTTAGGGTCCCAGCAATGGGAAAACAGTTAACCCTGAAATTGGTAAAAACACTATGAAAATGTAAAAATAAGTTTTAATACCAGAAATACTTTGTAAGAAAAAAAAGATTATCAATAAATATTTGCAGAAAAAAAACTATTATCAGCAATACATTTTTGGAAGAAAATATTACCAGCAATACATTTTTGTGAGAAAAAGAATATTACCAGCAATACTTTTTTTTTTTTGAAAAAATTACCGGCAATGCATTTTTTGAAGGAAAAAAATATTACCAGGAATAAATTTTTGACCAAACAAAATACTACCATCAATAAAAACTTTGTCGGCATTAAATAACCCATTGAGATTGATATGCCGTAAAACACAACAAACCAAACCAAAAAAACCATCCCTGATCTTTACAAATGGGACCCACCATGCCACGTACACAAGTGTGAATCGTCCCCGTTCTTTTCGTAAGAAGGATGTTATGTTCGGGCATCTTCTTCCTAAGTATTACTGCTTGGTGGCACATACTTCCCGCAGAAGGTTTTCCAAATAACTACAATCTTGACCTTATCACTACTTGGGTTATCTTTTTTGTATAGCTCAATTAACGTCACTTCTTGCCATTGTTTACGCTCATACAACACTATAGAGTAACTCTCTAACTTGAGTGGCTCTTGTGCCTTTTCATTGGATGAACATTAGTATAAAGAAATTAACATTCACCTGATAAATGGCTCGAAAGCCATTCAAGTTAGGTTAATATTAAAAGATTTATAATGCATGAGTTGTGAGATATGAATGAATGGCGGTGGTAAAAACTGGGAAGAAGAGTTTATCTTTGACTTGAAGAGATTAAGTTTTTAGTGTTCAGGAAAACATGCACGCCGTAGGTTTCCCACAAAAATCAGTTCTCAGAAATTGCCCCTTACATCTGAAACAGGGAAGAAATGAGGGCGATTCGACTCCACGGATGTAGGATGGCGCGTCCGTGATGTAAAGTGGTGGAACTCAAGAATGGAGCTCATCTGAACATTCGCCATGGATAGGCTTGCACCAAAGAGGCTGCAGAAGGAAGAGAAAAAAAAAGAAGTCTATTCCCACAAGACCATATAAAAAGTTTCATAATGTCTAAAGTCCTTAACACTGTCTTTTGGGTGTTTTTTTATAAAAAAAAAAAAAAAACTGCTAAGAGAGGATTGAACAGCTTCAGTACAGATATGGCAGCAATACCCCATTTTCGGTCTGAACTGACTCTCGTAAAAATAAAGCATAGCGGGAATCAGCTATTTCCTAGAGAGGCAGAATAGGCCTACTCTGTTTCTAGCTTCTTTAGCAATGGACCGTGTATACTTGCATTATTTACATTACTCAAACTGTTATCCTCATCTTCATTGCCATATTCACAACGTTTCGGCCGTTGTACAATTTGACCTTCCGGTGATTGGAATTTCAAACCGAACCCTTTATTTCGTTCACCGGGGTAGATTGTTCTAGTTCCACGTGCCATGCTTCTTCCGTGTTTCTCAGTTATTTCCCTTTAATTCAACTCTCCAAGTATTCTGGTTCACGACTGCTGTAGACTGGTATTGAAATCACAACTCTTTGGGTCTAGTCAAATCCACGGGGATAAAGGCGTTGGTTAGATCCAGTGACTAGACAGGTTTTGATATAAATTGGCGCAAGACCTTGTATGTGTGGTCCAGTTAAAAATACCTTCAGGTCGTTTTACCCAGACTGCTCAGACTGGCCTCGATTGAGAGTATTCCCAAGAATCTAGATACAATCCTCAATCACACCCAGCCACGACACACCCTCATTAATCTCGATAATGAACAGAAGTACACGGCGCGTCATCCCATAAGAGACACGCCTAACTGGGTATAGTTAGACAGCTGACAAGCACACCCGTGACACTGAACAGAATATTTATTATCGCCAGTCTCCTTTCTCTGAAATGGGCATCTTAACGCCTCTAACCAACCAAAATCAAAACGAAAAGCCATGAAGGCTATCCCTGGTAGTGTTTTAGTCTTTTTATCTATCTTCATTATTATTATTATTTTTACTACTACAACAAAGACGCCTGATTTTCCTATATAAATTTTCTGATAGATCTTAATTATTAAGTTAATGATTGAATAAGATTGTAGAAAAGTTATACAACAATAAAATATCCGTAGACATTCCCCTATTGCCTCGGTAAATATTTGTGCTTAACAACTTGAACATAATATAGCAATAGCGTTAAAAACTTCTCTTCCCTTATTTCTTTCGAGTTAAATCACCGTTTTACGAAAATTTATCTTAATAATAATTTTAAAAAAATATTTTAGTAGTCGATATTAATATATTTACTTTAATGGTAATTGAATTTTTTTAGCGATTATTGTTCCGTCGATAACGTTCAATATCGTGCATTTGAAAAATGACGTTTTTATAGCTTCTCGGATTTTGAGCTGAGATCAAAATGTAGTATCTGTTCTTATTTGATTTTTTTTTTCTGTCTCTCCCTTTCTTTGATACTTTCATTCCTTCCCCCCTGAAACAAAGTCATGTCTTTTTCCCCCCTTCTTTCCATGTGAATAGCAGAATAGTTCATTATTTATGAAGTGCTAACAGGACCTAACGATCATGCTATGTAACGAAAGGAGTGACAAGCAAATTATTATTAAGATTTATTAAATTTGGAAAAAAGGAAAGAACTGTCAGCACTTAATGATAAGAAAAAATAATTTGTCAAATGTTGACACAGTAACCTTTTTTAAAAAAAACAAACAAACAAACATTTCACCCCACGCAAGGCGGGTGTGCCACTAGCACGAGAACGTGAGAGCAAGTGTAAAGAGAGGTGCTTGAGGAAGGATACAGAGAAGGACGGGGATCAGGATCAAGGTATCAGAAGATGTCGATTGACATTATATTTGAAGATTATAGCTATCAGGGAAGTAAGTAAAAGGAAGGGACTTCCACTGTCATGAAGTTCGAGAGAAGAAACTGCTAGAGTAGAAGAGGCCGTTACATTTAACAGTTTCGACAGCAAAATGTTGGGACCGAGATGCCAACCTAGTAGCACGCTTAAATTCATGCAGTTGGGTTACCAGTGAAAATAGCACGTCAGAGAAGTTGCCATGAAAATATTTGTAGAAGATCGTTGAGAATACAATAACAAAAGAAATAACATTACAAAAACACCGACAGCTTGACTAAAATAGGAATCTATCATGAATCCTACGCAGTGTATTATTTTACATTAAAAACTATTCATTTAGAACAGTTTTATTAAACGTGTCTCGGTCTGGCTGACTGTGTAAGCCTTGTGTCCAGCAGTTTAATGAAAACATTTTAATTTCCTTAACATCATTGAAAGCAAAGAACGTAATAAATTTTCTATATGGAAATGTCTATACTCATCATTATCACCTAGCAAAAAAGGCAGTTCGTAAGTAGGTATGATGAACGTAACGATTCAAAATTAATAAAGAGAAACGTAAATAGACCTTAGATTGTAAAAAGAAGAAAAAAAAAGTCAACTCCAACAAATACTGATTCATGAAATAAAATACTCAGGATTCATAATAGCTGACATCCTGCCTATGTAGTATGTTGTCTTACATTATATCCTGTAAGGGCGTTACTTAGGACAATTATTATTAAACTACTCTCAGGCTGTTAAGAGTATCAATCAGTCTATCACACGCAGCATTCATTACGACCATCTATTCATCTTTTAACATGACAGCTTAAAGCAGCCATCTCCAATGTTTTGAGGCTTAGAGTTATATCACATTGAATCACCGGTTCTCTTCCGATCACCGAGGTAAAGCAACGCCGAGCCTGGCCAGAACCTGTACGTGTGACCTCTTGGGAATACCAGGTGCTGTAAGCTAGGATGTGCAGATTCCATTTAACATAGTTATATTGACTTACGCACAGGTACCCTTGGGAAAGGTAGGAATCTAACGCTTCTTCCCCCCCAGATATGGGTTAATTCGTAAAATTTCTATCAGGAAATCATCTCGATATATATATATATTTATTATTTTAATACAGTCTGGCGGTGTGAAAAAAAAAACCATATAATACAATTTGTAAATACAAACAATTTGTACAAACCGGCATCAGGAAAAAAAATAAAAATAAAAAAAATACAAAAAATACCCCCCCCCCAATAAAAACTTACAAAACACTAAAGACATCAGTGTTGGTCGAAAATAATCAGCACCGCAATGCCTAGTCAAAAGGGAAAAAAAAAAAAAAACGACGAAGTAAATTAAGTAAAAACGTAATAGTGCTCAATACACTAAGAGCAAAATCTAAAAAAAACTAGTGAGCCAGAACCTCCCTACCAAGGTTTCACCTAACGGATCTTCAGGATACTACTGTTTTTTTAGGCTAACATATATATGTAATCCCAAATATGTTTTAGCTGTAAATAAACTGAAAAACGATAAGCCGTAAAATCAAAAATAAAATAAATATTTCTGACAGAGAAACACTTCTGAAAAGTATTCCCAAACACAATGCTATTTTTATAAACGGCACGTACCTGCTTTGACGCTTATACAGCGTTATTTTTCTCTCCCTATGCGGAAAATACATCTCATTTTTCTCAATATTAATTTTTCACGTAAAAGCATTTAGAATCCACAATCCACACACGAAACATACTGAAAGACAATAAAGTGTGAAACAAAATCACGTGTTTAAGTACCACATGCTGAAAAAAGCTATGAACTCTTTTCCAACCGAATATCTAAGTAACAGTCTGACCTAAGATGGTTCTGACAGAATTTTATCACCTCCCGATTACATTCATAAATAATCGTTGTTGTGGTGATTACAACCAGCAGAAATCTAAAGCTTCTCTGAGCCACCGTAGACGGCAACATTAGCTAGGGAATGGCAAAAATTCTAATGAACAAATTTTTGATCACCTATAAATTCTCGTCAGGCTAACGCTTGTCTATCGCCCACCTTACAAAAGTAGAACGAAACATTTCATCACCAACAGAAACAATTCTGTTATCAGCCTTTTATATATGCTAGAATGTTTTTCTAACACGCTAAGGTCGAAAACCTGACCGTATTTAATACTGTTGTCGATAACATTTTTCGGTGAGATTTGCAAACTCTTCGCTTCGTTCAATAATGCAAACCAATCGATAAAATTTGAATAAGTTGATTGTTTGGTAAAATACTTTGACAAAATAAAACCTACTTCGCAATTTCTTTAATTTAATAGGACTATTTGTAAATAATATATTTTTTTTTAAAAACTTTTCTTTCCATTTTTAACAGCGAACAAGAAATTATTTCTTGCTATTGAGCACGTAACATACAACTGGCCATACGTAAATATTTTCTTCTGGAAAAAAAATACCAACCTTTTGAAACGTTTGGTGTTGTCATTTTGTTTATAGTTCTCGAAAACGCACGGCCAACTGGAAACTTGATTCTTGTATATATAAACACTTAAAGAAAAGGTATTAAAAAAATATTGCATTTTTCTTAAGTAGGTATTCGTTATTTTAATCATTAAGTTGTTTCTAAAAGAGTGGGAGTATTTTGTATGTTACATAATAAAACTTAATTTTTCAAAAAAAATAATTAATGAAAATTTATTGTACAAAGCTATGAAACCTAGTAAAACCAAGTGTACTTTGTACTTCCTAATCTTTTTGCACTACTCCCCAAAATTTGGTTTTGATCGGTCAATGTATGCCTATTTTAGAGGGCGTGACAGACGGACTAACGGAAGTGTCAGAATTTTATATATAGATTACGAACAAATTGCCTTTAAAACAAAACGGAAACATCTTTCGCATAACAAATTTTAAAACCATATTTACATAAATCATTTTCCGTTAATGAGTAATGTATCTGTCAAAATCTTTTTCTTTAATTCATCCGATTTGTAAAGAAAGAATTTATATCTGCTTTAGCAGATTAAAAGATTGTAAGTTAGTAGAAAAATATCGTTGTTTCATATTTGAAAGAACACCTAAAATGTTACCTTGACTTCTAAAAATAACATCATTTACTTTTATTGTTTATAGAAACAAAGTAAATAATTTACAAATATCAATTTAATTAAGCGAAATTTATAATTTTAACACAGCTTCAGTTAACATTTCAATTCCCGCAGTGTTCGTATTAACTAGTGTTGTCGTCTGACATTTCACATTGAAAACAAAAAGAAACGAAATTCTCTATACAAGTCAAAATCATATATTCAATTATATTTTAAAAACTTGCCAAATTATTCTAAGTGAAAAAACAAGTTCACTTAATTATTAATACAAGCATTGGAAAATTATTAAAATGTTTCAGTCATGGTTAGCTATATGTTACTATGTCGAGAACAGCAAACTCAAATGGACCTTCAATAATAAAAAAAAATAATTTTACAAGCAAGATGTCTTGCTGAAAATGTTTCTCTAGAAATTTAGTAGAGGTAAGACAACGTATTTCTCTATCTATAGGTCGGGTATTCCGTCAGAATTTTTCATCGGAATTACGCGTTTCAGAACAAAAGAAAACTCACATTTACAAGGTCATCTTAAAATTAATATAATAAAAAAAACTTAATGGTCAGAGTTGAATTAGACCGGTAAACAGTAGTATTAAAAAGTTCTCAATACACGTATTAAAAAAAAACAAATACAAAATTAACATCTAGAGCATTTAAGCATAAAAACATAGGAGATCAGCTGATTCCGCTACCAAGTTATCTTTCAAGCTTTGAAGTCTTAGGAATTCTTCTAGACTAGCCAAACATGGGGGAAATTAAAGGAAAAACATTAAAAAATATATATTGTAAACTGGAAATTTTGAAGAAAAAAGCCAAACCTTACAACAATCGCAGTGATATCTGCAAACTTTGTCAACAAGAAAAGTTGGCTATAATAATATTTCCAGAGGAAAGAGGCTTTTGAATAGGAGATCGGAAATTATGACCCGTTGCATACATACTAAAAAGTTCCTTTTGAGTTCATATGAGCCGGGATGAAAATCTATGTATATTTAATTTTACCCCCCTGCCGATACTTTGCAAATACAGTTGCTTTTCACCTCCTCCTTTTCCTACCACACCTCGCGTCGTGTGCGCTTATTTATTAGTTTTTTAAATAATATAGATTTCATTATTTTTTTTTTTTAATAAAACGTTAGGAAATCAAATGACCGAAATCGGCTGATTTATATATGTCTGAATAAATAAGTTACAAATATTATGTTTGCGTATTTTTACCATAATCCTTTCATATCCACGGATATTTTTCCGTGTATTACAATCAAATGATGCAAGGAAGTTGATTGCAATTCACGGAAAAATATTTGTGAATATTAAAAGATTATGCTAAAAATAAGCAGATATAATATTTGTCGTTTATTTAATCAGACATGCCTAAAAGAGAATTTGCTACATATGAAATAAAGACATCTGATAGCATGTTCTCTAACAAAATGTGACATTAATTCAAAACAAATGCGTTTCCATTTCAAAATTTCTAATTGCTGTGATGATAATATATCTTGTGGCGAACTGGCCAGGATGTCAGCTTGACCGGTGCAAATGAGCGTCGTATACAAAATAAAAATACAATAAAGTAACCAAAACAGACAACTATTTTAGTAATAAAAAGGAATAAGTACTTTATAAAGTGTTCTGCACCTAGTCACTCACTCAAGTTCAATGCTATAGATCATAAATAACAGATTAAGAAATTAACTGTCTGAGGAGAATTTGGAATCCTACATGTTGCTATCCATTAAAAAAGAATTGTTAAATGAATTGGATGCTGGAGCAAGTGTTGGCAGAATCGAACAATTATCTAATGAACACAAGCTATTTCTGTTAATATAGTAAACGCTATGTAATGCTTTGTTGTGCTATTGAACTACAGTATGTGTAAATTGTGAAGGAAATTTAAAAACATCAGTTAATTAAAATTAAAACAAATTTAAAATTCTATATTTACATTTGATATCTAATGCCAGCATTATGTTGAATACATATAATCTGTTATTACTAAGAAATTTTATTTTCCACAAATTTTAATTTTACTCTTTATATATATATATATATATATATATATATATATATATATATATATATATATATATATATATATATATATTATTTTAATTTTACTTATTCGTTATGAAAATCAAATGACAGTATTGTAGTTGTGGGTAGGCCCCCTCTGTCACTTGCCAAATAATATTTTTAGACCTAGTCCATCATTGGTTATGGTACACAGGCTACAGATTGGAGACTTTCATCTTACACTAAGCTAACAGATAATGCACACCATTCAGTGATGGTAAGTACATTATTCTAGTAGTTTGTTACTATTTTATTCAGTTCCAACCATACTGACTTTCGCTCGCGGTCTTGCAGCAGACTTAGCTAATAACTAAATCGAATCCCCCCAAACTCAAACACAGACGGAAAACAATGTTAAAATCGCATTTGTAAAAACATGTGTTCAGGGTTTTTCTAGTATTTACATGATTTTGGTAAAGTCATTTAGTAACGAAAAGAAAAGACGACATCTTACTTCGAATTCAAACGAATTTTTTTCTTTTTACTAACGTTTATCTATACAAGGCGCAAGAGCCACATAAGGTAGAAGGTTACTGAAAAAGATTGTTGTCTAAGCGATAACAGGCCTAGTTTATGTGGATATGCAAGAAAGATAACGATTAACTCTCGACTTGAAGAGGTTAAGATTGTAGTGGTCGGGAAAGCACCCTCTTGGGAGTTGATTCTACAAAGCAGCTGTTCATAAGAATCTGTTTGAAGGACATTTCCTTCTTACTAATGTACTATGAAGTGTTCGTCTCAGTGTATGTGGTATGGTGGGTCTTGGCTGTGTGGGTT